CGCGGGGGACGGCGAGGGGGACGGCGCTCGGCCCCCAGAACGCGACCACGGGGCAGAGAGGGGCCGCGCGCGGCTCCCCAGGGCGGCGCGACGGGAAATCGGGGCCGCGGGGGGGTCGCGCGCGGCTCCCCAGGGCGGCACGACGGGAAATCGGGGCCGCGGGGGGTCGCGCGCGGCTCCCCAGGGCGGCACGACGGGAAATCGGGGCCGCGGGGGGTCGCGCGCGGCTCCCCAGGGCGGCACGACGGGAAATCGGGGCCGCGGGGGGTCGCGCGCGGCTCCCCAGGGCGGCACGACGGGAAAACGGGGCCGCGGGGGGTCGCGTGCGGCTCCCCAGGGCGACGGGATCGCGGGGCCGCGGGCGACGGGACCGGAGGGCCGCGGGCGACGGGATCGGGGGGCCGCGGGCGTCCCCCACGGTAGGAAACCGCCGTGCGCCTCGGTGCGCACGGCGGGGAGAAAACCGCCGCACGCCCCGAGCGCGCGGCGGGATGAAAATGTGAAGGTCGCGCGCCACGGGGCGCGCGACACTGAGTAGGGCAGCGGAAGCAGCAGTGGGGCCCACAGGCCAGGAGCGTGAAGGCTCTGTTACCATGTCAAGAGAGTAAGCATAAGCAGGAGCCATAGCTAGGAGAACCCTAGCTAGGCAAGAGAAAGTTTAGGCAAAAGAGGAGGTTCACTAGCAGCAATGAGGATACATATAGCAAACCCTAGATGGGTTGTACTCGCTATAGAGCACCCCACTACAGGCTAGAGAATAACATTCTGACACATCCGTCGATGCTAGCGGAACATCATGACACATCGACACTATCATTTGGTATCTTGCCCAATTTGCATGTACATGTTGAACGATTTTGTCTTTTAACGGGCGCCAAAGTTCATCATTATTGGTTATTGCGAGTGACAAGCACCGATATAAACATGCCCCATCCCCACGTACATTTCTTCTACGAAACACAAACCTTCTTCTTAACGCACCGTCAATTGAAGCCCCCGTAAAGAGTCTAGGTGCAGGAGTGCCCATCTCCAAATGTCACGAAGTGCTCCCTCAAATGCCCCGACGCCAATCCAAGTTCGCACGCTGAAAAACACAGAGACAAAGGAATTGACACAAAAACCAAAATGGATGCACGATATATATGTATATATTTTGACAAGATAGTACTAAATTTTAAAAAGAACAATGCATAAACATAATAGTAATTAATCCCATTATAATTAAGTCGCAGTGAAACATGCCTGATTTATATTTTGGATGGCTAAATGTATGACCAACAAACAGAGAAGAAGGCACAAAGTACCAGCAATATTAACATTAAGAAATTAAAGCACAAAAGCACAAATGATATTTTTGTTGAAAAATTCAGAACATTATGGACCTTGGATATTCAGCTTCAGCAAGATTCAAGCGCCCACAAAGAGTTTTAACACCAATCTGAGCTTAAACACAAAAGGAGACAAACTTGTTTAAAAAATGAGTTAAATAGAGAAAATATCCAGCAAAAACAAAAGCATAAAAGAAGCATATACACAAGTATATACACAAGCATATATTTATTTACCAGCTACACCACCAAATAACTTGCTCAAAATGAGAATTGCTCCATGAAATAACAATACATTGTATATTAAAAAAAAAACAATGTAAATGGCTTGAATGCTTACAGCCAACACTTCAGTGGACTCCCAGTTTCGGAAGGGATGATGAGGAATCTTGATTATGTTGCTGTAAGACAGTACACAAAACGTATAGTACATATGTATCAAATGTTAGAAACACATACATTTAAATTAGAAGTAGAAGCAAGCATTAAAAAGGTGAAAATATTGAACAGAATAGTTGTGATACAACTATGTTCTTAATGAATTCAGAACATTGGTAAACATAGTCAAACATCAAATTTGACCTTGGTATGCTGAACAATCTGACACAATTTCAATGCTGACGGTGTGGATCCGTTCTTGTTTTCCCTGCTGAGAAGAGTAACAGAATGAAGAACAACAGCACTTTTCATGAGACTTAAATTGAAAGACAAAGTAAAAATAAAAAGCGGGTAAATCAATATTATTAACAAACAAGCAATCTCAAAATCGTACCACAAAAACTTCAAATGGAGACTTTGAAATTCGGTGCAGCCTGAAGTGAAGATGCTGATGTAACCCAACTGTTGATGATTGATAAGATAAGCACGTTCAGGAACAAAAAACAGGGTGTTGGATTGTATGTTGGTATATGCAGGAACATAGAAGTCAACACATGAGGTTAATAAATACACACAAGAATTGAGCTCAACTTTCTTCTAGATAGATAAGCTAGGGTACATCATGAAAGGTGATGAGAAGTGGAGACTAGCAGGAAGAGTTTGAAATCGAATTGTTGAAATTTAGTAAAAAAAACTAGATTAGAAACTCATATCTTCACCAAACAGCCAAGCACGTGACTAAGAGAATAGAAGAATATCTCAACTCACTTAACGTGGGGCAATAGTAGATTAAGAAGAGTTGAATGATAGCTTATTAACTAGATAGGTACCTTGAAGGTCTTGAATGTGTTGAGCTTGGTGTGAAGAAGAACAATAGAAGAAGCTAAAGGAAATCTTGAGTTTGGTGTGAGTAAGAGAAGGATGGAAAAGAAAGGGAGAAAGAGCTAGGTAATGCTTTGGGAAGGGAGAAGTGGAAGAGCCTTTCTTGATTGGACACAATGTTGACCAATGGTAAGGTAATTGCTACTGTGAACTTAGACAAAAAAGCAGTTGGAAGCATTGAGCTAGAAACAAAACAACCAATAGAACAATGTTGCTTTTCTTGTTTCTAGTTCATAGTCCATAATCAATTTGTTGACAAATTACAGTTGTACAACTGTTTTTTTGTTTTCTACTTGAAAATCGTTTTCATTTGACAGTTACAACCGAAATATAGGACAAAAGCAGAGCAGACGAGCGACAACTTTCAAGACAAAAAACAAAAACGTGAGCTGGCGTTTTTCAGTTACAACAGCCACAATGAGCACTTACGACAAGAAGAACAACGTGAAACAGAGGACCAAAGGTTCTGTTTCACGAAACCCCCGTTTTCCCCCCCCCCCCGGCCCCCTCCCCCTCCACATTTCACGCGCGAGATATTCTGCTGACGTTCTCCCCCCCTCCCCCCCCTCCACATTTCACGCGCGAGAAAAACAGCAGCGAACGCTCGATTTGATTTGGGGCGACGCTGCTGACGTCAGCAGTTTTTCTCGCGCGAGAATTTATGTCTGACGTCAGCAGCGACTTTCGAAATTTCGCGCAAATTTCGAAGCTGACGTCATCAGCGAAGTTCGAAATTTCGCGCGAATTACCTAACGCTGATGACGTCACCGAGACGAAGCTGACGTCAGCACTCCGAAATTTGAAATAACGTTCAAATAATACATCAACAAACATTCTAGAACTGTAAACATAGAAATAAAACCTACAACTACTCATGTAAACGTTCTTATTGATGTAGAAAAAATCAAGTCTACCACGTAAATACTGAGGAACAATTAAGAGCTTCAACTCAAAATTCACATAAGAACATACCGGTAAAGAATGCACAGATATTCCTAATTTAAATATGACGATGTGATCAACTTCATTCAAAAAACTTTTAGAAAGTTACATTTGTTGCTTCGCAACCCTAAGACGATTTCGTCGCCTCTTTTTTTTTTTTTTTTTTTTTTTTTCGTGTCAGCGGCACACAGGTGATTCCCTGCGAGGAGTATGTTGCATGGGTTGGACAATGGTTAGAACGAAACCACGGTTTGTTTCTCCTTATTCTAGTTTTCTCTTTCGCTCGTGGTAGCTGGTTTGCAAGTCGGGGAAGTGTTACTTGGACGGTTTCGCGGATTTTGTCATTCACGTAGACGATTTCACGTGGGTGAACTCGTTCTTTGTAGCGATAAATGTTATCAGGAATCTTCATGCGCGCGAGGAAATTCCCCACTCCCGTGCGTTTCCCGTTTTTCCCAAGTTTCGTGGGGCGCGCGGAATGCTGTGCAAGATTCGGTTAAAGCGACGGTGCACATTTGCCACCCAAAACCCAGAACCCTGGCGAACTGTTACTGCAGATGAAAAGTGTCTGCACGAAATCCTGGTTTTCGCCAGCCAACACTTTCGCGCTGGTTTGCCTGGTTCAAAAAAAAAACTTCTGAACCCAACACTGCCAAAAGTTGCCCGTCGCTTTAAGAACGGTGAAAACCTTGTACCGCTGCTGATCGTATTTGCACCGTATTTGACCGCGGGAAACAAACGGAATCGCACACCATTGTCGTATTTGCTTTACTATGAGAGTTCGCGGATTTCCTATATTTCTGCTGTATTTTGTTTTATCAAAGCAACTGCTGATGTTTTCGCGCACGAAACTTCACTGGGTGGCGCGAAAGTTGTGCTGCTTGGTGGCGCGAAAACTTCTGTGTGTGCTGTACCGCACGATCTGAGCCGCGGATGTCGGTGGTTTCCTGCATATAGCCAGATAGTTTCGCGGTCATAAAAGAATCTCGATGGTGTTTAATTGGGCTAGTGTATTTCGTGTTTCGTGTCAGCACGCTAGTGCCTCCTTGCGAAAGTTTGTACAGCCAGTAAACAAAACATTTTCGTGCGGAGATGAAACCAGCCCCACGGCCTGGGCTTCCAATTGTTTTCGTGGGGCACGCGGAATGACGTTTCAGGGCGCGAACGTATTTCACGAGAGCAATCCGCGTGATTGTCAACTGGTTTTCGTGGCACACGACGAAATGGTTACCTTCGTGATCGTCGATGGTCGTGTAGCGTTAGATTCTTACGTCGCATATGATTCGCGCAAAACGAGAGCCATGCGATTAACTTAGATTCGGGTTGCGAGATGTTTTCGCATAACTAAATCTGGACGTCGACCTCTGTAATTCTGACACTTGGAATCTTAACGACGTTTCCGAGCTCGACACGTGGTGCGCGGACGCGGAAACGAAGCTCCCCGCAGAATTCCCCGCAACACGTGGTCCAATGGGACGAATTGTAACCCGGATGAAAACCAGGCTGTTGTCGGCCCGAAGGAACTTCGGAGCTCCCAAGGGCCAACTCCGGACCAGGAGGGACTTCGGAGCTGGTGGCCCGCGTGGCCGTCTGACGTCACTTTTCCCGCCCCCTCGCCCGGGTAATCATGCGCGGATGACGTCATTACTTCACTGTTGCAAGTTCTTCATCCACCCAGCCGTCGCTCTCGCTCCCATCCAGCGATATCCTCTCCCTCACTACCTCCCGTAACCTCTCCAACCCACCTCACAATCACTCCGTCCCATCCACCCCGCCATCTCCTCTCCCTTACCTTCCCGCCGTCGCCTCTCCCGTCTCCCCGCCGTCTCCTCTCCCTCCTCCCTGCCGTCGCCACTCCCTCCTCCCCGCGGTCGTCACTCCCTCCTCCCCGCGGTCGCCACTCCCTCCTCCCCGCGGTCGCCACTCCCTCCTCCCCGCGGTCGCCACTCCCTCCTCCCCGCGGTCGCCTCTCCCTCCTCCCCGCGGTCGCCACTCCCTCCTCCCCGCCGTCGCCTCTCCCTCCTCCCCGCCGTCGCCACTCCCTCCTCCCCGCGGTCGCCACTCCCTCCTCCCCGCGGTCGCCCCTCCCTCCTCCCCGCGGTCGCCTCTCCCTCCTCCCCGCGGTCGCCACTCCCTCCTCCCCGCGGTCGCCACTCCCTCCTCCCCGCGGTCGCCACTCCCTCCTCCCCGCGGTCGCCACTCCCTCCTCCCCGCGGTCGCCTCTCCCTCCTCCCCGCGGTCGCCACTCCCTCCTCCCCGCCGTCGCCTCTCCCTCCTCCCCGCCGTCGCCACTCCCTCCTCCCCGCGGTCGCCACTCCCTCCTCCCCGCGGTCGCCACTCCCTCCTCCCCGCGGTCGCCACTCCCTCCTCCCCGCGGTCGCCTCTCCCTCCTCCCCGCGGTCGCCACTCCCTCCTCCCCGCCGTCGCCTCTCCCTCCTCCCCGCCGTCGCCACTCCCTCCTCCCCGCGGTCGCCACTCCCTCCTCCCCGCGGTCGCCACTCCCTCCTCCCCGCGGTCGCCACTCCCTCCTCCCCGCGGTCGCCACTCCCTCCACCCCGCGGTCGCCTCTCCCTCCTCTCCGCGGTCGCCACTCCCTCCTCCCCGCCGTCGCCTCTCCCTCCTCCCCGCCGTCGCCTCTCCCTCCTCCCCGCCGTCGCCTCTCCCTCCTCCCCGCCGTCGCCACTCCCTCCTCCCCGCGGTCGCCACTCCCTCCTCCCCGCGGTCGCCACTCCCTCCTCCCCGCGGTCGCCACTCCCTCCTCCCCGCCGTCGCCTCTCCCTCCTCCCCGCCGTCGCCTCTCCCTCCTCCCCGCCGTCGCCACTCCCTCCTCCCCGCGGTCGCCACTCCCTCCTCCCCGCGGTGGCCTCTCCCTCCTCCCCGCCGTCGCCTCCGGCGACAAATGCACGAGCGCAAGCGCGAGTTGGTGCGCGAGGGCGGGTCGGTGCGCGAGCTCGGGTGGGTGCGCGAGCGCGGTTTGGTGCGCGAGCGCGGGTTGGTGCGCCAGCGCAGGTTGATTTCTGAGGCATTGTGATTATCAGGTGCGTTCTCGGTCCTTCGATCCTCCCGCCCCCTTCTGAAATTTCCCCTTGTTTCGTTTCTTTTCTGCTCGCCTCGTAAATCTTGTTAGTCAATTCGTCTCCGCTTGCATTGCACTTTTATTTAAAAAAGAGGCGAGGGAGAGCGTGTACACGGGAGCACGTGAGAGTGCGCGTGAGAGTGCTCACGCGAGAGCGCATGCGAGAACGAGTGAGAGAGCGCGTGAGAGAGCGCGTGAGAGAGCGCGTGAGAGAGTGTGTGAGGGAGCGCATGAGGGAGCGCGTGAGAGTGCGCGTGAGAGTGCGCGTGAGAGTGCGCGTGAGAGTGCGAGTGAGATAGCGCGAGCGCTTGAGAGAGCGCGTGAGAGAGCCCGTGAGAGAATTCGTGAGAGAGCGCGTGAGAGAGCGCGTGAGGGAGCGCGTGAGAGTGTGCGAGAGAGTGTGCATGAGAGAGCGCGTGACAGAGAGAATCCGCGAGAGAGTGCGCGAGAGGGAGTGCGACGGAATGCGTGAGAGCCCGTGAGAGAGCGCATGACAGATTGCGTGAGAGAGCATGTGAGAGAGCGCGTGAGAGTGCGCGTGAGAGAGCGCGTGAGAGGGCGAATGAGAGTGTGAGCGAGAGAGCGCGAAAGAGAGCGCGTGAGAGAGCGCGTGAGGGAGCGCGTGAGAGAGCGCGTGAGTTCGTGTGAGAGTGCGCATGAGAGTGCGTGTGAGAGTGCGCGTGAGATTGCGAGTGAGAGAGCGCGAGCGCGTGAGAGAGCGCGTGAGAGAGCGCGTGAGAGAGCGTTTGAGAGTGCGCGTGAGAGAGCGCGTGAGGGAGCGCGTGAGAGAGCGAGTGTGTGTGAGAATGCACGTGAAAGAGTGCGTGAGAGAGCGCGTGAGAGGCGCGTGAGAGAACGAGTGAGAGAGTGCAGAGAGCGCGTGAGAGAGCGCGTGAGAGCGCGTGAGAGTGCGTGAGAGAGCGCATGGGAGTGCGCGAGTGACAGAGGGAATGCACAAGAGAGTGCGCGAGAGAGAGCACGTGAGGGAGTGCGTGAGAGCCCGTGAGAGAGCCCGTGAGAGCGCGTGAGAGAGCGCGTGAGAGAGTGCGTGAGAGTGTGCATGAGAGAGCACGTGAGGGAGTGCGTGAGAGCCTGTGAGAGAGCGCGTGAGAGTGTGCAAGAGTGTGCATGAGGGAGCGCGTGAGAGAGAGAATGCGCGAGAGAGTGCGCGAGAGGGAGTGCGACGGAATGCGTGAGAGCCCGTGAGAGAGCGCATGACATGACAGATTGCGTGAGAGAGCATGTGAGAGAGCGCGTGAGAGTGCAAGCGAGAGTGCGAGCGAGAGAGCGCGTGAGAGGGCGAGTGAGAGAGCGCGTGAGGGAGCGCATGAGAGAGCGCGTGAGAGTGCGTGTGGGAGTGCGCGTGAGACTGCATGTGAGAGTGCGAGTGAGAGAGCGCGAGCGCATGAGAGTGCGCGTGAGAGCGCGAGAGAGGGCGAGTGAGAGTGCGAGCGAGAGAGCGCGTGAGTGAGCATGTGAGAGTGCGCGTGAGAGAGCATGTGAGAGGGTGAGTGAGAGTGCGAGCGCGTGAGAGAGCGCGTGAGAGAGCGCGTGAGAGAGCGCGTGAGAGAGCGTGAGGGAGTGAGTGAGAGAGCGCGTGAGAGCGCGTGAGAGTGCACGTGAGAGATCGCGTGAGGGAGCGCGTGAGAGAACGGGTGTGTGTGAGAGTGCTCGTGAGAGAGCGCGTGAAAGAGCGCGTGTGAGAGTATGAGAGGCGCGTGAGAGCGCGTGAGAGGCGCGTGAGAGAGCGTGTGATAGAGTGCATCAGAGAGCGCGTGAGAGAGCGTGTGAGAGCGCGTGAAAGCGTGTGAGAGAGCGCGTGGGAGTGCGCGAGAAAGAGCGCGTGACAGAAGGAATGCGCAAGAGAGTGCGCGAGAGAGATCACGTGAGGGAGTGTGTGAGAGCCCGTGAGAGAGCGCATGAGAGAGCGTATGAGAGAGCGCGTGAGAGAGTCGTCAGAGAGCGCGTGAGAGAGCGCGTGAGAGAGCGCGTGAGAGAGCGCGTGAGAGAGCGCGTGAGAGAGCGCGTGAGGGAGCACGTGAGAGATTGCATCAAAGAGCGCGTGAGAGAGCGTGTGAGAGTGTGCGAGAGAGTGTGCATGAGAGAGCGCGCGAGAGAGTGTGCGAGAGAGTGCGAGAGAGGGATGCGACGGAATGCGTGAGAGCGTGTGAGAGCGCGTGAGAGCGCATGACATGACAGATTGTGTGAGAGAGCATGTGAGAGAGCGCGTGAGAGTGCGCTTGAGAGTGCGCGTGAGAGGGCGAGTGAGAGTGCGAGCGAGAGAGCGCGTGAGAGAGCGTGCGAGAGTGCACGTGAGTGCGCGTGAGAGTGCACGTGAGGGAGCGAGTGAGAGCGCGCGTGAGATAGTGTGTGAGAGTGCGAGTAAAAGCGCGCGTGAGAGAGCGTGTGAGAGAGCGCGTGAGTGAACGAGTGAGAGCACATGAGTGTGCGCATGAGAGAGCATGTCAGAGAGTGTCAGAGAGCGCGTGAGAGTTCACGTGAGAGAGCGCGTGAGAGGCGTGTAAGAGCGGTGTGAGTGTTGACTTCTCTGTTTTTGCTTGTGAAGGGCGTGTGTGTGTTGACTTCTCTGATTTTGCTTTGTGCAGGGCACATGTGTGTTGACTTCTCTGATTTTGCTTTGTGCAGGGCGTGTGTGTGTTGACTTCTCTGATTTTGCTTTGTGCAAGGCATGTGTGTGTTGACTTCTCTGATTTTGCTTTGTGCAGGGCGTGTGTGTGTTGACTTCTCTGATTTTGCTTTGTGCAGGGCGTGTGTGTGTTGACTTCTCTGATTTTGCTTTGTGCAGGGCGTGTGTGTGTTGACTTCTCTGATTTTGCTTTGTGCAGGGCGCGTGCGTGTTGACTTCTCTGATTTTGCTTTGTGCAGGGCGTGTGTGTGTTGACTTCTCTGATTTTGCTTTGTGCAGGGCACGTGTGTGTTGACTTCTCTGATTTTGCTTTGTGCAGGGCGTGTGTGTGTTGACTTCCTTGATTTTGCTTTGTGCAGGGCGCATGAGCTGAGAAGGGAGATGAGGGTGGGAGTGGGATGGAGATGAGGGAAGGAGGGAGGGAGGGTTGTAGGGAGGGGAAGGTGGGATAGGCCAGCAACCATTTCTGCGTTTCTGGATTTTATTCATGACGGTTGCGTCTTTATTACTGTCCCTGTATCTATCTGTGCTTGTTTGCGAGTGTGTTAGTGTGTGTTGTTAGAATCTAGCAGCAGGAATGAATGAACTAGCAGGATGCAGGAGTACAAGTAGTTAACCCTAATTTGGTTGTACCCCATGTGGGCTACCCCACTACAGCCTAGACAATATGCTGCACATACAGTTTGACACACCCCCATAGGCAAAGTGGGGGAGAACAAGGGGTCACACGACCAGTCAAGAGAAGCAAAACAAGCTCAGGGTGGATCACAACGTCACCACGCATTCTGAGCACAAGCAAAGGGCCATAAGGCCAGTTCACATGCAGAGATATATATGCAGCAATAACAGTACAGTGATGGCTACCTAGCAAGAGCAGGCATGCAGGTATATATATAGATCACAGTACAAGCAGAGACTACAGCAAGTGTGGAAACGTAGGCACAAGGCCCAACAGAGTACAAAAGCGCTGATGATCACCAGACGGAAGTGCCTTGGTGAATATATCAGCAGTGTTCGCCCGAGTGGCCACGTGGCGAAGACGAAGCTGGCCTCGCTGCTGCAACTCTCGAGCCAGGAAGTAACGCAGAGCAATGTGCTTCGTTCAGTGCTCCAGTCTGTGCTCCTCACACAAGGCAATGGCGGCCTTGTTGTCAACGTACAGCACTGGAGGAGAACGAGGCTGCTCTCCCAAGTCAGTCAGCAGGTAGGTGAGCCAGCGTAACTCCTGTGCAGCCATGGCGGTGGCGTAGATCTCAGCCTCACAACTGGAGCTGAGAACTGAAGACGAGCGTGTAGAACGCCACGAAACTGAACCAGAGCCAAGGCTGAAGGTGTAACCCTGTGACGACCGCTGAGTAGCCAGGTCGTCAACCCAAGAAGCGTCTGAGTGCCCAGTGAGGACAACTGGGCTCGTCCCTCCAAGCACTAGCCCCATGCCTGATGTGCTGCACAAGTAGCGCAGTACCCTCTTAGCAGCAGCCATGTGCTCAGGTCGGTGCCGACCAGGAGCCACGTAGCGAGCCAGGAGACCAAGAGGGTACGCGAGGTCAGGTCGAGTGCAAGTCATCAGGTACATGAGGCAGCCGACTAGCTCTGGGTAAGGACCACTCGGCTCTACGGACTCGTCCGAAGGTGGAGCTGAGAGCGTGTGACCTGTAGCCAGAGGAGTGGCCTGTGCTGAAGACCAGGTGAAGCCGAAGCGCTGAAGGACCTGCTGCACCATGTGTGACTGAGTCAAGGTGATGGTGCGACGTGCTCTGTCCCGGGTGATCTGCAAGCCAAGGTAGCTGTGCAGCTCACCCAGGTCAGTGCAGGTGTGTCTCTTCTGCAGCTCCGACTTCACGTGGGCGAGAGCCTTAGTGTCAGCAGTGGCAAAAACCAAGTCGTCGACGTACACGAGGATGTAGAACGGCGGCAGTGAAGTGTCGGTGCGCAGAAACAGCGACGGGTCAGCAGTAGAAGGCGCGAACCCAAGAGCCGCAAGCGTAGTCCTCAGTGTGTCGTGCCACTCACGTGGCGCCTGGCGGAGACCGTAGACTGGCTGCCGGAGGCTCCACTGGGTACCAGGAGGGAACGACCCAGTGAAGCCCGGGGGGCGGCGCAGCCAGATCTCCTCGTGCAGGCTGCCCTGCAGGAAAGCTGTGCTGAAGTCAAGAGAGTGAAGCTCGTAGTCACGGTGAGCAGCAACGTGCAGCAGCACCCGAAGAGTGGTCATCTTCGGGGTGGGGGAGAAGGTCTGGAAGAAGTCAACTCCCTCTCGCTGACTGAAGCCTCGAGCCACGTAACGCGCCTTGAAGACAGGCGGAGAACCCGGCGGCCGCTTCACCCTGAAAATCCACATGCCACTGACGATGTTCGCCCCAGGTGGGGGAACCTCGTCAACGTAGGTGCCTGTGGACTTCCAGGAAGCCATCTCTGCGTCCATGGCTGCCTGCCACTGAGAGGAGTAGGGACCCTCTATCGCCTCTGCGTAAGAGCGCGGAGTCGGGATGTCTGGTGCATCCGGGTCTCCCTCAGGGGCAAGTAGCGAGGACACAAGATGAGGTAAAGCAGCAGCAAGACACTGGAACTCCTCCTGCCTGTCCTCAAGGACGTCCGTGCTAAGAGCACACTCACCCCCGACGGACGGAGGACAGACAGACTCAGACTCAGCAACAAGACTAGCGGCGTAGTCTAGACGACAGGCAGCAGCAAAGTCAACAAGCTCAGCGACCAAGGCAGACGCAGCAGTAGACTCAAACGACGGGTCAGTGACAACAGTGGCTAGGAGACGCGTGACAGTAGGGTGCTCAGTACGAAACCGGCCAGACTTAGGGTCCGGAACGGCAGGCAGAGAGGACGCAGGAGGAGACGGCAGAGGAACAGGCGGCGGAGCAGAGGAAGGACGACGGACTACGAGGTGTGCGCCGGGGACAGCCGGCTGACGCGAACGAGGAACACGACGACCGGTACGACCAGGACGAGCAGGCGAAACAGGACGCGACGCAGGCTCACGACGCTCAGCAGGACTACCAGTCTGCTCAGTGTAAGGAGAAGGAGCAGGCAACGGTGAGCCAGGCTGTAACGGAAGACCAGTAGACGACGGAAGAGTAAGAACCTGACGAAGAACAGAGGCAGACGGCGGCAGAGACGACGGAGACGGCGGAGCAAAGAACAGTCGTGTCGGCGCAGCTGCACCAGTACCAGCAGCTCCAGCAGCTCTAGTGCCTCCAGCAGCTCCAGTACCTCCAGCAGCTCCAGTACCTCCAGCAGCTCCAGAAGCTCCAGGCCCAGAGCCGACACCTCGAGTCCCAGGGTCTCCAACCTCTGTGTCTCCAGCAGCAGCACCCCCAGAACCAGCACCTCCAGTCCCAGGGTCTCCAACCTCAGTGTCTCCAGTAGTAGCACCCCCAGAACCAGCACCTACAGTCCTAGGGTCTCCAACCTCAGTGTCTCCAGCAGCAGCACCCCCAGAGCCAGCACCTCCAGTCCCAGGGTCTCCAGCCTCAGTGTCTCCAGCACGAGCACCTCCAGAACCAGCAACTCCAGCACCTCCAGTAGACAAAGGACCAGCACGACTCCTAGCTCCAGCGGCGCGACGCTGACGGCGACCGTACCAGTCCTGCAGCTGCTGTGGGGTGAGAGGCACACGTGGACGAAGGCGGCTACTCCAAGGAGACCGCGCAACAGCAGACTCAGAACCCTCAGCGCCCGCACCCCCAACGGCTCCAGAACCTCCGGTGTCAGTACCCTCAGCACCAGTACCTCCAGCGGCTCCAGAACCTCCAGCGCGAGCACCCTCAGCAGCTCCAGAACCTCTAGCTCCAGCGCCACCAGGACTAGGCCCTCCAGCAGCTCCCGAACCTCCAGCGCCAGCACCCTCAGTAGCTCCAGAACCTCCAGCGTCAGTACCGCCAAGCTCAGCACCCCCAGACCCCTCACACTCAGGCTCAGCACCACCAGGCTCTACACCCTCAAGCTCCGCACCCTCAGGCTCAGTACCCCCAGGCTCAGCACCCCCAGGCTCCGCAACCCCAGGCTCAGCACCCCCAGAAGTAGCACCCCGAGCAGGACCACTCTCAGTAGGACCTGAGTCACCAGTGACCTCAACCGGCGCAGTCAAGGGAGGAGGGTCTACCTGAGAAACACCTGAAGGAGCAGGACCGGGAGCGGGGAGGGGGTCTACCTGGGGAGCACCTGGAGCGAGGAAGAGCGGCGGGGGGGGAGCGAGGCAGTGCGGTAGGGGAAGAGACGGTAAAAGGGAACCGACTCGTCGAACGTGACGTCCTGAGACGCAAAGACACGGCGCGAGGTGGGGTGGTAAAACTGCCAACCAGGCGCGTCAGGGACAAAGCCAAGGAAGACACAGGGAACAGCGCGGGCGGAGAGCTTGTCCGCGGTGGTATCGCGGACAAAGGCACGAGCACCCCAGACCCGGAAACGCGACGCATCGCCAACCTTCCCCGTCCACAGCAGTGTGGGCGAGGTCTCCGGCAAGGAGACACGGGGCCAGAGGTTGAGCTGATGCGCGGCGTACCGGACCGCAAACGGCCACAGAAAATGGGGGGCAGCCGCATGGATCATGGAGGTACGAGCGACCTCCATGACTAAGCCAATGCGGCGCTCAGCAACCCCATTCTGCTGCGGAGAGGCCGGAAGCGTGAACGACTGGGTGATGCCGTGCTCCGCACAGTAGGCTGCCAAGAGGTCGGAGGAGAACTCACCACCTCTGTCAGAGTGCAGACGCAGGACAGGAAAGTCCGACCGGAACCGCTCGCGGAGCTGGAGACGAACTGCGCGGATCCAGGGGATCAAAACAGCAGGGACATCCGCCTTGC